GAAATAGTACCTTTTATGCTAAAGTCTGTCTTAGGTTTTTCACTGCCAGCATATCCATTTGAATGCTCTGAGAAACTCTTTATGGATCTGTCTGCTGAATACACAGGGGAATGTTGTAGAGTAAGTATATCACACTTCCCCCTTTTCTTCTTCTGCATAAGGCTGTCTCTGCCCATATCATAGTGTCTAGAGTCTAGAAGCTAGTTGCTAAATGTCTATTGCTCTTCTGCATTTGTGATAGTCTGAGGAAGGATCCATTCAATTTGAAAGAAGACTTGAGTTGAGGCAGGGAGTAGTATATTTTCAGATTTGGCACTGCAGGGCTTCCTGTTGTTTGGAGGCTAATTAAAATTATTCATCTCAACCATGGCTTCAATCCAGATCTATATGTCTGGAAAGGGAGCCACCTCCTTTTAACTTACTGTATGCTTGTCAATTAATATTTCCACAAAAGAAGAACCACTGCCAATGTTAGGCCCATTTATTTTTATTTCTTCATTTAGAAAAATTATATTGCTACCTACTCACACATGGCAACTCAAGGATATAAAACACCATATAAAATAATAAGAAATAACAATAATATAAATAATAACCCACCCCCACCCCCTTCAAACACACACATTCAAACTAGCCATTTAATGGGCTCCATCCCACTGGCACAACCAGGTCTTTGGTGCCTTCCGAAAGAGTTATTAAAGTAGGAGCCAGTCTAATCTCTGGGTCCCGCCAGATGTATCTTCTTAGGGGACGGGACCTGCAACATTCCTTGCTGCATACATTGCTGCATTTGTGTAACTTTTTTTTTGTCTTTTGTGAAGGGGAAATAATACATTAGACCTACATCTCTCATACCATCTTAGATATATAATGGGAGAAAGTGAACACACCTACCTCCACCATGCAAAGATGCTTCTTGGCTTTGTAAATTTTTGACAAATATAATTCACTTATATGCCATGTATTTATTTGACTTCTATCCTGTCTCTCTCCAAGAACTCAAGGCATGGGGACTGCCTTTTATTTTATCTCCAAAACTGTAACCTGGTGAGTTAGGTAGGGCAGAGAGAGTGTTTGGCCAATAGTCACTCAAGGAGTTTCCATATCTAAGAGTGGGCTTTAGATACTCCCATGTAACACCTCTCCTACGCGAGCTGCACTGGCTGCCGGTGGCCTTCCGGGTGCGCTTCAAGGTGTTAGTAACAACTTTTAAAGCGCTCCATGGCAATGGACCTAGGTATTTGCAAGACCGCCTCCTACCAAATATCTCCCTTCAACCAGTCTGCTCCCACAGAGAGGGCCTCCTTAGGGTGCCGTCGGCCAGTCAATGCCGGCTGGCGACCCCCAGGGGGAGAGCCTTCTCTGTGGCAGCTCCTGCCCTCTAGAATGACCTACCCCCCAACCTACGTACAACTACGGACCTACGCCTCTTCCGCCGAGCCTTTAAAACCCATCTATTTCATGCGGCCAGCCTGGCGTAGTTTTGATTGGGCTTTGCTAGGGGTTTTATATGGGGTATTTTAGAGCAGGCTTTTTATTCAATATTTATTGTGATTTTTATTATTGCCTGTTCACCGCCCTGAGTCCTGTAAGGGAGATAGGGCGGTATATAAATTTAAATAATAAATAAATAAATAAACCTGGTTCAGCATCTTAACCATTATACTACCCTTACATTGTCACCATGTTTATATACCAGAATTTATGCACATCAATGGCATTCAAACTATGCATTACTAATCATAATAGCATGGTTCTAATATGCTTGTCACTCAAGGTTAACTGTTACTCTGTCATTACACTGAACTTTGTAAAATAATTCTCCAAATCAATTTTGGCTTCACAATTTTTTTTAGTCATGTCAAACTCTGGTTTTCATTCTAATAGAGATGTCCTAGTGTACATTCATTCACATTAAGCGAGGGAACAAAACTATCAAATTATTCTGTTTCAACCCAAGTGTAACATCACTTAATTTCCTGCTTAAAATTAGTTTTAAAATCTGTTTTATAAATAAAGTTCCCCTATTTGTCTATCTTTGCACAGCTGGATTAATTAAACACATAGGCATACAAATGCAAGACTTTGAAACAGATGACTTCCCTGTTTAAATAGATGAATTCAATCTTGACTTATTTTCCCCAAATCATAATGTTTGAATGAATGAAGTGCTTTGGATTGACTATCCAAACTCAAGGGCTGTCTGGTTTAACACAGATTGGAATCATGAATGGCACTAGTTTTTATATCCCCTTTCCGTAATGGTCATTTTGGGTGTTCTAGCCTTTAATTTGGCCAAGCAACTTAAACATGAAAATGTTTAGAAGTGGTTAGTCTGGTTTTCATCTTTTCAGTGACAAATATGTGAAATTCACTTGTTGGGTTGGGAGACCCACGTTTGAACTCAGACTAGGGAAAGGAAGGGATTTATCCTGATTCCATTGAAAATGCTTTTGTTACAGCACTGGAAAAACTTTAGAAGTTTGTCTCTATGAATAACATCTGTTGACCAGTTTTTCAAAAAATTCTCTCTGTGGTTTTGTACTAAAGTACATGTCAAAAACCAAACCAACCCTATGAAATATCCGTATCATTCTAAGTAGACGTTCACATAGCTTCACCATGTATTCTAGGCATGCTGGAACCAGAATCGTTTGGATTGCTTTTTTAAAAAAGCTGGTAAATATTAATAATAAACCCTCAAAGTATGTTATTTGCAAAACACCTTTTAATGTCGTGTATAAGCATACAAAACATTTAGAATTTCACATGGTTTTTACTTTCCATTGCTAAATCTAACATTTGTGTTCCATTGGCAAATAAGCCTCAAAAACTGGATGCTTTATAAAGAACCCTTCACTCCCCTGTTCCTCACTCCGAGGGGGGTCTTAGCTTAATTTTTAATGTAAAAAATGATTCAATGAGACATCAACTGGCAGTCTCAAAGGATAAGAATAAAGGCTGAAAAATACAATAGGACACTTTAAACCAGGGGTCCCCAACCCCCAGTCCATGGACCAGTACTGGGCTGTGGCAACCGGTCCGCACAAACAAGCACAGCCCCATTTGTGGGATGTAGGCAGCACACAAAACCACACACCCTCCAGTCCGTGGAAAAACCTCTCTCCACGGAACCAGTCCCTGGTGCCCAAAAGGTTGGGGACCTCTGCTTTAAAGCACTCCTAATTTTGTTCCAGTTCAGTATAGATCAGAAGTACTGTATAGATTTAGATGTACAATCTATACAAGTACTTTGTCAGTCAAAAGCATTAATGGATTGTAAAGTGTTGCTATTAAATTTGAATTCCATAATGACCAACTTTACAGGTCTTCACAAATTATACTCTGCCCAGGTTTACGACTGTTGTGGGCAGGTTTGATCTTACTATATCCAGTTCCTGATCTCAGCAAACTCAGTTTACCTGATTTGCCATTGCATAACTTCAATGTGGATTTGTCTACTATCTCTCTCACTTCTATTTCACTTAATACATGGTTTTCTGGCTTCTGATAAAATAATTTTCCATTGCAGAATGGTTTCTTTTTCTGTGCAAACCATGTTGAAAGCTAGTTTAATTTTAGTTTTTCACTCTGGCTTGAAGAATACACATAAGGCACAACATGCCAGATCAATAGTAGTGATAGTTCAATAGTTGTGATAGAAGAAACCACCCCCAAGAAACACTATTTTTGTACCAGCTAAACTAGAAAATGAGAATAATTTTACAATAGAGAAGTGCACTGTGTAAATGATTTGATAGTTCTGATTTTCTGTCCTGGAAAAAAAAGTGTTGTTTGATGCAGGACACCCCCAACCGCCCCCCCTCCCTTGGCAATATCAAGTTCTGCCAGAGAAAAGAATTTTCGGTGTAGCCTAGTTTCAAATAAGGGAATACTTTTAATCATCAACCTCTTCTTTTTCAAGTGATGCTCAACACATCCATGAAATTTATTTGGCAGCATTATGGTAGTGATTTGCCTTTGCCTTCTTCCAGGGTTTTTTTTAATTCCCAGGACAGCCTACAAAAAAGAAAAGGCAATACACAATTCAGTGTATACATGTGGTAGAATGAAGGATGGTTTGCAAGGATAGAAAGGTATGGAGAGAGATATTGTAATGAATAAAGTTAAGGTAAAAGCAAGGCAAAGTTTGATATCCTTTTATTTAATCTCTTTCTTTTGCTCAATTCACTTTTCTCTCCTTTTCATAACGTTACTTTGAAAGAGAACAGAATAGATACTGTATATGTGCCATCTTGCCTACTTCCCATGAGGTTTCAACCTGCCTTGTATTTGGATATGTATTAAGGCGCTGCTTCCTTACCAGAAAAATATTCTAGGAACTGCCTGTTCATTTTCCCTTACAAGTTCCAGTTTTATTTGGGCCTAATGTTTCATTGTTCCAGGAAAATATACCATGAATGTTTGTATCCTTTAATTGTGTTTACTGTCTTGGAGGAAAATATATGTATTAAGGGGAACCTAATTTGACTACATCATCCTAAATTGTTATTTAATTTGGCAGTCTTCAGTAAATTATATAGCTTGCCAGAATGCTTAAATGTGAGACGATTTGAGTGGAGACCCCAAAGGTATTTTTTTCAGGAGGCAAGCATCTTTGGGACAACCATACCTGGATGACTGAGAATCTCCATAGACATTTGAGTGGAGGATAAAATGACACAGATTCCACAGATAAGTGACCTTATTTTTCAGTTTCCTTTTTTTGGTCTTTTCCCCAAATGAATGAAGAAGAGGGAGATATGGATTGGTTCCATTGTGTGAGGGCAGTCTTAACCTTTCAGCTGTTCCCTCCCTTTCTGATCATAACAGGTATTTAAAGTGTAAGAAAATGAGTCATGATCTTCAATTTGTAATTACCTCCTAAGTACCCGTCAATGCTTAACAATGCATCATTGTCATTAATTATAATATTTATTGCATTCCACATAGCATAATCTTCTTTTTCTTCTAGGGCTTCAAGTAACAAAATCCAGAGCTGCTGAAGAATAAATAACCTTTATTTTCAACTTCATACAAATGAGAACTGCCAAAGCAGATGGAAGGCTTCAGAAATCATGACATTTCAAGTTTATACTACCAGATCCTTGAACTGTGATTTATACTAACAGATCACCCTTTCTGAGGGAGTAGTCCACATGCAAGAAAAGTTGAATGTAATCCAACATACCAAGGTTTATCTTGCTGAGAAAACACTAATGGACATAAACATTGGCTTGCTTATGGTATAGTCCTAGACTTATTTAATTAGACTTGAACTGTAACATTTATTTCTATATGCTCATAAGACTGCAGACTTAATTGCAATCCTATGGCTACTTAGGAGAGAGTAAACTCAACTAATTTGAATAGCGTTCTCTTCTGAATAGACAAGCACATTCTAGTATCAGAATAATGTAAAAACTAATTTTTGAATCTTAGAAGATTCAGAATACTGTAATTTCATAATCCCAATATACTATTTCTTTTTTACAAATTTGAATTCCAGGCTATTTTTCTAAAACAATTACAGATTTCCTTTTACAAAAAAGAAAGACGATGTAAGAAAGGGAGATACCATCCTGGAAGAAAGCTCACAAAAGGTGAGGTAAACTAGGTGCTTTTTTTTAAAATGCCAGTGGCAAGGGCACTTTACCGAACAGGAAAATGTCTAGCAGCAAAACAATGTTCAGCATCTTAATCAGGCTAATAATATATTTCTCAGAACAGATTTTCTAAAGGTCGATTCACTTAATTTGACAGGTTTGAATGCTAGTATTTCACACTACCAAATTTAATCAGACTTTGAAATGAAAGGCTAATTGTTATCCTTCCTCATTGTGGAGGAATTGCTACAATCAGCCCTTCCTGCATAATCCTCATAATCCTAAATCTATCAAACTTATTCACACATATTTACCACTTTTTTCAGTATGAAGAATGATGGAATTGGACCTCACACCAGGATTAAGTATGTACAAAGCTCTCTTATCATAGAATATTGCTCACAGTTAACAGTACATGCTCCCCTTGTGTTATTATGGATATAAAGTGTCCATGTAATGCATGAACTGACTGACATAGGTAACAGGATATGATTATAAGTCTGCAGCAAATCTTCAGAAAACAGAAAATGTTATTTAGACAGTAGATGGATGTATCACAATCAATAGGAAAATAGAAAGTTTTTTTTTCTTCAGTCTGGTTAGGTCCCTTCCAAAATGTCTTTTGAATTTATATAGTATTTGATTTGCATGATTCTTGATAGCTTCCAACATTTTTGCTTAAGCATGATGAAGATTCAGATTTACTTTTCTTTAAAGATGCTTTATTTGGTTGCCATTCGCTCCCCACATGACAACGACTTTGGAGGTTTGGGGTAGTAACCAGTAGTTATTGAGTTATTTGAAGAAAATCTACCAAATTGATAATCCAGAGGTAAATCTGAAAGAAAGAAACACATATGATTAGGAATTATACCTGTATCACATCTAAATAAACCCAGAAACTCCAAAAAAAATACATTTGTTTCTTAAGCTTTTTAATCTGTTTGTTTAATATTGCATCAATTTAAGCACACCACAAGCTTACATGTTTTGTGTCTAGAGTTTATATGCCTGAGCATATAAAAGGAATGTTTTGGTTTTTCTTCTGTGAATATTATTGTTTAAAATAAAGCAAAAGTAATTCTAGATAATTTGAAATATGTATCTTTTAGTGACAAATATATTGTATCACTTATGTAGGCATAGGATGAACCATGACAATAATATACTTGCTAGCATATCCAAGAACACTAATTTTGAATTATAGATACTACTTTGCATTAATTATTTAATCCTAATTTTAAAAGAGCAATATTATGTTTCCCATAATCATATTATAGCTACAACCTTGGGCATTCTTTTCTCACAATAAAAAAAGTACAACATTAATCTGAGATCTCCATGGTTATTGTTGTTATTGTAATAGCTACATAGCTGCTATCTGGAAAAAGAATAATATGGGCAAATAAATATTTCTTCTAATATCATCAGGAAACTTTCTAAATTATTTGGATGATTAAAAATTGATATATTATTTAGAACAAATTAGTCTGCAACTGAACACCAGTTGCATCCAGATCTTTTAAAATTCAGAATAATTTGTTTGGGTAACTAATGGAACTATTAAAGATAAACTCAAATATTTTCTTGAAATAACAAATTATATATTGTTATTGGTTAAAAGAATATTGTATATTATTCCCTTTTCTGATTCCAAGCCCAAATTACCAATTTCACAGTAATGTAAATCTAGAAACAGATCATTTGGTTACATTTTATCCATAAAATGGAATATTTTGGTTCAAATAATCAACCATTATTTTTGGTCCCTTGTTTATTAGTAAGCATTATCTCTACAGATCTTCGGTAAGCACCTTCCTTGATGTTTACATTGGTAGGATGTATATTCACACAGCTTCCCTGAAATTATATGTAATAATTCTGATTTAAATGTGACTTTTTATTTTCTCTAGGGTTAGTCTGCATCTTCTAAAAGTGCCTGGTTTTGAGTGGGAAGATAAACCTGTGAAACTGGTAATTCTCCTGCATAGGTTTCTGGGGGAAATTGGAAGAAGGAAATATTTTGTGGAATATATAAATTGTGACCTTCACTGGCATGGCTTTCTGCTTATGCTAGTCCTACAACTATACACTGCAGTCAGGGTAAGAAGATTGGGGAGACTAGCCTAACTGGGAATTTTTTGATCCATTTCAGTAATACAAGCACAAACATTTTGTTCTTAAAAGAAAACAGAAAAAGAACAAATGATATTGTTTCAAGAACCAATAATACTCTATTCTTTCTTAGATCTGGACTGATTAAAATGGAAATGCCAAGAGATGTGAAAGACCAATATGACTATTTGATAGTTTAAGCATTCTTTAAAAATGCTCTTATATTCTTTGTCACTGACTTGGTATTGAAATCATATTGCTCAAGGACTTGATGCTGGCTGGTAGTTACTGAGTAGCATGTTAATGGGAATGTCTGGCCAATTTTAATCCTGTCCTTAATATTTCCAATTCAACTGAAAAATAAAATAAAATATCTAAGTTTGGTCTAGTCTAGTGGCTAGAAACCAGAAACTGTGAGTTCAAGTCCCACCTTAGCCATGAAAGCTAGCTGGGTGATGTTAGGTCAGTCACTCTCTCTCAGTCCACCTCACATGATTGCTATTGTGGGGAAAATAGGAGGAAGAAGGTGTTGGATATGTTTTCTGCTTTGAGTTATTTGTAAAAATAATAAAGGTGGGATCAAATCAATAAATATAAAATTAGGGTAAAGCTATATGATCTGCTTTTTGAGAGCTTAAAAAAATGGTGTTTTGTTTTTTCTTCCCTACAAGTATATATTCTGACTTTTTACAAAAGCATTCACTGTCCGGCAGATGAAGATGAAACAACCGCAGGAGTAATTTGAGTTAGTCCACAAAAAATAATATTTAGGCATCCAACAGACTTATAATGCAGAATGTTAAAGGTGTGCTTTGGTTCCTCTTTAAAAACATACAAAATTCAAACAAGGGTTAGGTTGCCAAGTGACAATAAACAATAAAGGACAATATCTGTAGATCAGGGTTGAAATGAGGAGGAGTTCTTAGTGATCTCTGAGCTTGGACATTTCATTACCCAAACTAGGTAACATCATCATTGCTCTGATATGACCCCTCATGACAATAAACAAAATAAGAATTACAGGTCAATTGTACCAAGAATTTCAGAAAACTGCATGGAAACGGGTTAATGGGGAATTGACAGCTGAGGATTGTCTCCTTCTGTATATCAACTTGTTACAAAATGATGCTGAAATCTATTTTTGCCTGGCTATTTTTTTTGCTCACTAAATATTAATGTGTCTTCATACGCCACATGCAATTCTTTTTGAAGCTTTTTCTTTCTTGCAGCTTGTTTTATCCCCCCTTTTTCATGATAAGGAAATTCTGCCCAACTTCATCACTTTCTCACAAGATTGAACAAGGAATGCTCTATTTTTAAGTACTTCTTTACTTTCAGAATTTTGTTATGATGTGAAAGACATCTGATCCTACATTCAGAAGACCCAAACTGGAGGCTCCCCACTGTTTTCCAATTCCAAATCCTTTTTGATCTTTTCCCCCCCCTTAATCATAATGCATGCCTGAACTTACCGGGTGATTTAACAATTTGAATACCACCATTCAAGATCATGCAGAATACTGAAATATAGGCAGGCTTCGGCTGTTAACTGAGGTTTTTTTTTAGAGATTTAACCACTTTAAGAACTGGCTTATGCTATGGAAGGCTCACCAGTACTACTCAGCAAGTTTAGCATTTTTATTGCAGAGAACTTGTCCATAGCACTAGACAGAAAGAAAATATCTCAGATAGTCCTGTGCTTCTGGGCTTAAATGTAAGGCTTTTTCTTCTTGCTCTGCCAAATCGATGGATAACTGGCCATTCTTTAGATCAGGGATCCCAACCCCCTGTCTGCGGCCTACTGTCGAGCTGCAGCCTGTTCAGACCTGGGCCGTGGAAGCAGTGGGTGAGTGAGCATGCATGCATGCACGAAGCTGTATTTCTGAAAATGGCACATGCACGTGTACACAAAACTATCCCCTCTTCCCCCCCCGCCACTGGTCCGCCGAGCCAGAAAGGATGGAGATTGCTACTTTAGATGGCCTTGGGGATCACCTGACATAATGCTTCGCTATGTGGGAACTGCTAGTTCCTGTCCTTATCAGTCTAATTTCTTATCAATAAAGCTTAATTGATAATATTGCATGTATACTTTTGTATTGTGCAGCTGGTATACAACAGATGTTCTAGATTACATACCTCCGCAGAAAGCCATGGCTATCAAAAAAGCTAATTTTGGGGATTATGAGAATTGTAGTGCATTGAGGGCATTTCCCATTGTTTTCAGATTGTGCCTTCCTGTATTTGCTAAACTTATTTTATTGAAAACCTTTGTGAGTCATGTTCTCAGAGCAGTTTATGAATTAAATATTAAGTACAACATACGTATTGTGAACCTGTTTTTACAAGATTGTTTTGCCAGCCTTTCTTTTGAGACAAGCACAGACATTTCTAGTATACATTCTTGCAGGCAGATTTCTCCAACCTACATCCATCTGCAGAAGGAAAAATTATTTGCCTTGGGTCACGTACAAAGTGAGATTACTCAAATATGTTCCTTTTCTGCTAGAAGGAAAAATGGTTTGTCTTTTTAAAATAAAGGGACAAGTTGAGAACTGAGGCTGAGAAGAGAAAATGGGACACCGTTTGTCAACCCAGAAACCTCACTATTAAATGAATGATAAATCTTAGAAATCTAGAAAGGACTACTGGAAGAACTGAGATAGAGGGAAGTCTATTTTGATTAAAAACAACTATTTTGAAAGGATAGGCCAAAAAGTGTGGCTAGAAATACTGTGCAACATTACTTTTAATTTCTTTTGTGCAGTAAATAATATGCTACTTGGAACCTCTTTACAGGAGAGTTCTCATAATTTAGGGGCAAGCATTAACTTGTCTCTGACCAGAAATTTATACTATCTTTTATGTTTTGTATGGAAGATCCTTCTAAGTCTGGACATGTAATTGGAATAACTCTTATGTCTTTGATACTGTTTTACATGTGACACAAATGAAAAGGAATATTTGCACTTTATCTTTTTAACAAGAAATAACATTTATATTTTGCAAGATAGATCTCATTTCCAAGGAAGTTAGGTGATTTCTCTAATCATTCACCTCAATGATACAAGACACAGAAAATGGACTAATATAAATTATTTCACTTCTTTGGTCATTTTTCCTTCTATTTGCTGCTAAGCATATAACATATTGGGAGCCTCTCTCATACACATATACCCATACACCCATTCACACACATACACAACATACACACAGAGAGTTTTATGGAAGGATGCTAGGTAAGGCAATACCCAAGACTCTTTGAAGCTGCATATTGACTACTTTTCTTCAACAATTTCCCCTAAACAGAAGATTGAATATTGGATAAATATGCCAAATGAGGGTCTATTAACTTCTTGAAGAGGGCAGCATACTTTTTCCTTCCTTCCTTCCTTCCTTCCTTCCTTCCTTCCTTCCTTCCTTCCTTCCTTCCTTCCCTTTTCTTTCCTTCCCTCCTTCCTTCCCAGTTTGCTATGCCAGACCATGCTTCCGTCAACTTGAATGCAACTCCAAGAGAATCTGAATGACTTCTAACATCTGTCAGTTATCTAAAATATTCTCGACAATGGCCCTGCAGATGGTTTGTATCAAATCCTTCCCAGAAGGGGCAAGTCACCTTAAAGAGGGGTCTTAAGATAGCAGTCGCGAAAAACCAAAAGAAATAGTTATATTTTGCTTACTCTTATTGCCATGATGTAATCCCTAGTGTGAGCTCCCATCCTAGGTGGGGACTAAAATCTTGGCCAAACTGCCTACTAGATCATCAGGAAAAACCTGAGAATTTGATACACTGAACAGCTTGTACAACCTATTCCATAAATAAGGTTTTATATATAGTACCAGTGCTTTTTTTGTAAAAAAAAAAAGAAAAGGTGCCGGAACTCACACACGTTATACAACCCGCCTTGCCTACCCTACAAGGTTCCATCCAAAAAAGGTGCCGGAACTCCGTTCTGGGTGTTATATGACAAAAAAAGCCCTGTATAGTACTATACATAAACATACACACAAAGAGAACCATACAAGAACACTAAAGCAAAATCTTAAGACTGCAAGAGAAAACAACATTCATAACATATTAGCTCCAAAACATATCACTCTGTCCAAAGGCCTGTTGGAAAAACCAGGTTTTAATAGCTTTCTAAAAACCCAGCAACTTTGGGATTATACTAATCGTACTTACCGGTTCAGGGGAAAAGGAAACAGTGAGTGAAAAAAAACTCTGCCTTTAAGATTTGTGCAGATGACATTCTATGAGAGGAGGACTTAGAAAGTCTACCTGATCTTATTAGACAGGGCCTCCATTCCTCCCTGCCCCCTGCTAGGATTAATTCAGCATGGCCACTGCCAGAATTTTACCAGGTAGTCCTTGTTTTATGACCCCAGTGGAACTCCTAAGTCTATGAGGAACTATGTAACCGGATTCAATGTTGCAACCGCTTTTATAATGTTGTAAAGCGACTCACCGTGATTTGTTAAGCAAATCACATGGTTGTTAAGTGGACCATGAGGCTGTTAAATGAATCCAGCATATCCAATGGATTTTTTTTTTGCTGTTTTTCTGCTGGAAAAGGGCAAAAACCATTGCAAATTGCAGTCACATGACTGCAGGCTGCTACAACCAGTCTTAAAATATGAGCGTGTTGCCAAAACTCAAAATGTGATCACATGTATGCAGCAGTCATAACTTTGAGAATGGAATATAAGTAGCTTTTTTGAAATCTGTCTTAACTTCCAACAGACCTCAAGTGACTGTTGGAAGGTTATAAGTCATGTTATAAGACAAGGATTAGCTGTGCACCAGCAATACCGGTATTTTCAGAATTTTTACAGCCATTGGAGTTACAATGGTGGCTACTGTTATTATTCTCATTCAGTACTGGGGATGGGTTGGCCCTCTTTTTTTGTGCGCTCTTGTTATTCTAACATTTAATAATAAAATAATAAAATAATAATAAAATAATAATAATAATAATCTGCTAAAATGAAAAGGAACAATGCATGTAGAGAAAATATGTGCAAAGGATTTTAGCCCATATCCATTCCTTCTTCTTGTCAATGCATGATTTATGATTATAGAATAAAACTTAATTATTGGAGATGGAGATTGTCAATGCTAGATCTCCTGATGTTTTACATAACAAAGCATTACTGCTGAAAAAAAAATTATTTTGCTTATGGGTCTGCTGTTGGAATCATTTTTGTGGAGAACAAATCAATATGCTTTAATGAAGATACAAATGATTACTCTTCACTGTTTTCTTTTCCCTTTCTCAAGCTCAAACCATGCGTTAGTAGAATTTACTCTGGGATTTACAATGAAAACGTATGAATATTTACTCAAATGTAAGCTCGGAGCGGCCAATCAATGAAATATTTATTTTGGGGAGAGCGTTAGAATTCCGATCATCAATATTAATCTGACGCTAATATGAATTTGACTTTAAAATTAATGGTTTGAAAGTTTCAGGGATTGGCTTAGGATCATTATTCTTACCTGCTATGGCTTCAATGCTTGGGATTGTAATTGTGCTATAAGCATGAACAGATTTGCAAGACCATGTATTTACTAAGATTTCCTCTTCTTTTCCTTTTCCTGAAATAGTATCCGCAAAGAAAGAACCCCACTGTTTAGAAACAGAACGGAGAGCTTTGGGTTGACGTCCCTGGAATATAAACAAACACTAAGATAAACATAAAATCCATATGTGCTCTTATAGTTTCATATGGCCTCTTTGTAAATGGGATCTCTCTAATATTCAAGGCACTAGGCACACAAAAAGAAACTTGGTGAATGCTCAGGAAAGTCCCAATAACAGAGTCAGTCAAGAAACTCTGGAGCCACTCCCAGGCACAAGAAAATATCACATTTCCAAATCCAATCACTTCCCGTGCATTAAAGAAATTCTGCTGGTGATGATTTTTTCTTATATGACCTGTATATATTAGGGATTTCACTGTGACAATAGAAGTGCAAAATGTATTAATTTGTCTACTGTTATTTTGTCTGTAGAGCCAGCAGCTTTTTTTTAAGGCAAACTGTTCCCTGCTGGAGAGGGAGGAAGGGACCATAAAAACATCTAGAGCAGGGGTCCTCAACCTTAGCAACTTTAAGACTTGTGGACTTCAACTCCCAGAATTCCTTAGCCAGCGTCCCTGGCTGAGGAATTCTGGGAGTTGAATTCCACAAATCTTAAAGTTGCCAACTAACTCCTGGGGATTAGATCTCCCGACAACGTTTTTTTATAAGATCCGTAGACAGTTTAGTTTAGTCTAGACAAGTCTCAACCTAAGCTGCGTCTAGACCCAACATTTTGACTCCGTATCAGAACAAATCAACGGACCCTTCTTAGACTAGACCATTGAGGATTTCATAACCTGTTCTAGGAACAATTAGACCGGTGGCAAGGGCTCCTGGAAAGTTACATGGCTGGATCCACACAGTGGTTACTTCTCTGAGAGATGGAATGGTTCTACCTATCTGGAAGCAGGTGTGGTATACCCCCCTCCCTAAAACACCATTGTTGGACCCAACCATTTTTGCCACTTTCCTTTAGTCTATCTTTCCCATTTTCTGGGGAAAGCTGTTGAGAAGGTGTCTGAGTTGCAAATTCAGAGGGATTTGTAGAAAATAAGTTATCTGAATCCTTTTCAGCTAGATTTCAGACAGCACTGACTGTACTTGTTCAAGACCTCTAGTAGAGCTAGGATGAGGATCGTGCAAATCATTCTGAATCTTGCCTCTATTTTAAATTTTTATATTGAGTTTTAATGTTTTTAATATTTTATTTGTACACTACCTAGAGTCCTTCTGTCTAAATTTAATAAACAAACAAGCAGACAAATCTCCTTGATCTCTCAGTGGTTTTTGATACCATCAATCAGGCTATCCTTTTGGACTGATTACAACAGAGGTGCCCAAAAGGTTGGGGACTGGTTCTGTGGTGAGAGGTTTTTCCGTGGACCGGAGGGTGCGTGGTTTTGTGTGCTGCCTGCATCGCACGGATGGGGCTTTGCTTATGTATGCGGACCGGTTGCTGGCATGCCGCAGCCCGGTACTGGTCCACGGACCGGGAGTTGGGGACCCCTGGATTACAACATGGGGATGGTGTTCTGGTGGTTCTTCTCTTTTCTCCAGTTCCAGATGACAAGACTGTGTTTATGTTTATTTAGATTTGTATACCGCCCTATCTCCCTTACGGGACTCAGGGCGGTGAACAGGCGATAATAAAAATCACAATAAATATCTATTCTAAAATCAAATTAAATAAATAAAGGCCTGCTCTAAAATACCCCCTATAAAAACCTATACTAAAACCTAATTAAGACTACGCCAGGCCAGCCACACGAAATAGAATGGGCCTTCAGGGCTCGGTGAAAGAGGTGCAGGTCCGCAGTTGTATGTAGGTTGGGGGGGTAGGTCATTCCAGAGGGCAGGAGCTGCCACAGAGAAGGCTCTCCCCCTGGGGGTCGCCAGCTCCGTAACTGACCGGCTGCCGTGGGATTCCTCCGGGAGAGACACCCTCGCCTGACCAGCTTCCCTCCATACACCATCCTCCGCCAGAACGTTTATGGATCCAGGTAACGGTACCTCGCGAAATTTCCAACAATGATTGTGGAACTTCGCGTGGGCCTTCCGGTGTCCGTCGGTCACCTCGAGTGCGTCCTCTCCACAATGATGGGAGCATCTAGAGGCCCCCAAAATCCCCCGCGCGGCCGCATTGTGAACTAGTTGGAGCCTCCAGGTGCACCTCAAGGGCAGCCCCATGTAGAGAGCGTTGCAATAGTCCAGGCGGGAAACAACGAGGGCTTGAGTGACCGTGCGTAGAGCGTCAATGTTAATAAGAGGAGAGAAATGGAGCCCAAACCTCTTGACCTGCCAAAGGGCTGGTACTCTTGCTTCTTCTCTTTAACCTGTCTTTTCTGTTACAGCGCCTGCCCTCTGAGCTTATTCACCGAAGAGAAATGAAACATTTTTGGACATGAGGACACTCAACAGAATGATGAGAGCTCTCCACTTGTGTGCACTGGAGCTTCCATATAATAGTTAACATAATGATTTATTGCACATTATTTTTCAATTTAGCTAGCTCAGAACCAAAACACTGGAACAGAATCTATTTTAAGTAGATGTTAAAATGAATTTAATGATGCAGTTATAAACTATAGAACCACACACAACAGATTAAGGTCCATAACTCAAGGTGATTTAGCTTATTGGTGATCATAGTTTCAGAGTCATCCTTCATTTTATCCCCGCAACAACACTTATGTAGGATAAATTGGGGTCAGAGAGCGACTGGGTGAAAACCATCTATCTTTTACTGAGGGGAGACCTACAATTAATCTGCATCATGTACTACTACCAGTATTACAGAGTGAAATGTAAATAATGTGACAAGAACTGGTTCTGTGGAACAAATTGCTTTTTGTAGTAAGAATAGAAACGTGTCCTTCTCTTGTTCCTGTACAGTTAAACCAGGGGAGATTGAGATTGAGATAATCTTAAAGTAAACTTTGTATAGAAGTCAATAGAAAATGCCTTTGAACTATCCAAGGCATTCTTCATGAAAGGCATAAAGCAGACTTATTATCCTGTGCTTCAAGTGTTTATTTTGAATAAGAATAAGAGTATGTTTCTTTCCTTTCCTAGTTTTGCAAAACACAGGAAGGAAGACGTAGCTGAACACAATTAATTCATCTTCCTACTTTGATGTACTTCTTCGGAAATAAAACAAAAGGAAAAAAAATACATTGATAATGACATGAAATACAAATAATACAACAGAATTGTTAAGCAAAATTCTAATTATTTTTAGGGCATATAATGTAGACCAGCTTTTTGATTTTTGTTTATTCTATGACTTTGTGAAGTAGACAATTAGCCCTTTATTTGCTGAGGAGACAGCAAGGTTTCGGCATTCATTCTCAGCCATTCAGTAAATTAATTGATGTGTAGCGTTGATACAGCTAGTCTTTGATTTACAAACATTTCTTTAGTGACCGTCCAAGGTTACAATGGCACTGAAAAAAAGTTTCACACTTAATGAAATTCGCTGTATCCCCACAGTCACGTCAACAAAATTCGGGTGCTTGGCAACTGGCATGCATTTACAATCACTGCAGCATCCTGGAGTCATGTAAACCTTCCCAGCTGGCTTCTAACAAACAAGTCAATAGAGGAAGCTGGATTCATTTAATGACCACATGTTTCACTTAACAATTGCAACGATTTGCTTAACAACAGTGGCCAAAAAAAGACAATAAAATCAGGCATGACTCGCTTAACCGACTGCCTTTGCCACCAAGATCCAGTGACCATTCGAACTTACAATAGCCCTGAAAAAGAAGATTTTATGACCGGTTCTCAATCTTACAGCCTCCTTGCAGTTAGGTGATCAGAATTCTGCTGCCATCATAACTGGCATGTGGTTATGATGGTCACAGAGTCCCACAGACCCTTGATTGCCATTTGGGACCTTCACAGCTGACTTCCAATAAGCAAAGTCAATGGGAAAGCCGGCAGTAAATTGTAAGTGGGAAGCTGCAGTCACATGACATCACACTTAATGATCCTGGGTGATTCATTTAACAACCACAGCAGAACTAACATTGTAAGTCAGGCATGGACACGTGATGTTTCTATATCATTTAGCAACAAAGTTACAGACCCCAACTGCAATTGTTAAGTGAGACTACCCACATCTGAAATCTTGTACCATGCCAGCATTTCCTTCCAATTTTAGTATTTTGGAGACGTTTATGTACTGGATACACCCGTATGCCTCTCTTTCTATAAGTATGTATCATAGCAGATGGCTTCATTTAGGTTTTGGCAGCAATGGCAAATCACCTCTATATTGTTGTCAAGAAAACAAGATTAAGATTTGAGAGAGGGTTCATAAAAAATATTTTGGTATATATGTTTTATGAGAACTCATTTGGTGTATAGGTAGCCCTCGACTTACGACCACAATCGAGCCTAAAATTTCTGTTGTTAAGCAAGGCAGTTCAATGAGTTTTGCCCATTTTACATCTTTCCTTGCCACAGTTGTTAAATGAATCCCATCAGTTAGTGATTAACTAACTGTAACATGGTTGTTAGTAACATGGTTGTTAAGTGAATCTGGCTTCTCCATTGCCTTTGCTTGTTAGGTCATAAAAGGTGATCACATGACCTGTAACCGGTTACAGGAAGGAAGGAAGGAAGGAAGGAAGGAAGGAAGGAAGGAAGGAAGGAAGGAAGGAAGGAAGGAAGGAAGGTTTCTAAATCCTCCCTGACAGTGTCCCACAAGGAAACTCAATGGGGAAACTGGCAGGAAGTCAGAAGTCACTCCTGCTCTCACTGTTTTTTTGCCCACCCACAATCATTTTGTTTCTCTTTTTAGGTAAGGAAATATCTCTGAAACATAACCCGATGGAAACATTTTAATCACTGAAACTGTGTTTTTAATGCACAAAAATAATAGTTAGATCTGTGTAGGAAACCATTCAGGGAAGGATACCATATATCTGTGGCCTTTTAAATGTTTGCTGAACTAAAACTGCCAGCATCCTGATACTGTTGAAAGCTGCCGAGAACTAAGACAAGAAGTTTCCCAGCCTTCTGATAACTGATAAGCACTACCTTTACTACAATAAAAATGTTAGGCACCGTAACCATCATAAATATGAGTCAGTTGTCAAGAGTCTGAATTTTGATCACGGGACCATGGGGGGATGCTGCACCAGTCATAAGTGTGAAAAACAGTCATAAGTCACTTTTTTCAGCGACACTGTAACTTTGAAAAAGGATTGGTTGTACGTTGACGACTAACTGTAGTGGTTTTCAAAATGCTATGTCAACACATCTCATAATGGAGGAGGAACTGGGTTGTACCAGATTATCCTTACCTCATACTTTCCTTTCTTCTCTAAGGGTTCAGACCGTGACTCTGTATGTACCACCGCATCATCCCCTCCAAGCTCTTCCAAAATAAGGACAGTCTCCCAGTTACAATAGTGATGAGCTGAGAAAATATCTGAGTGCATGCTATCACCAAAGTAAACGACCTGGAAATAAGGAAATGCAACAATTGCACCTAATAAATAAATAGCTGTATTTGAACATTCAGTGCATACGAGTCTTTGCCGATCATCTGCAAATCACTTAGGACAGTGGTTCTCAACCTTTTTAAAGCTGCGACCCCAACCGGTCGTAAGTCGAGGACTAAACCGGTCGTAAGTCAAGGACTAAACCAGTCGTAAGTCGAGGACTAAACCGGTCATAAGTCAAGGACTACCCAACCAGTCGTAAGTCGAGGACTTTCCCTGCCCGGGAGCGCCGCGCATGCGTGGTTCCGCCCCCTGCGCCAGCCGAGGCAAAGCTGGCAAGCGGCAGAGACGGAGCAGGCCGACCACCAGCTGGCCCAGCCCAAGGGAGGTAAGGCACCCGCCGGAAAAGGGGGAAAAATGGCGGACAAAAAAAATGGCGGACAGCCTTGCTTGGCGACCCCCGTGAAATGGTCGATCGACCCCAAATGGGGTCCCGACCCACAGGTTGAGAACCACTGACTTAGGAGCTACCCGTGAATCCCAAACTAATTTCTGTTATCTCTGACTTAAAATATGTTAATAATTACTAATTAAGCTTGCAATGTAATGGACACCGACTTGAGAATAAAGTACTTTAACACAATTGGTATTTCTTGGAAAGGTAATCATGCATTAAATTAGGCTACACACATCTTATATTAAATATTAAAAATGAATATGATGCTTGCTTGTATTTCCTGTTAGCTGATGATATTTAATGTAATTGTCATTACTGTGGCTTACTACTGGATCTCTAAAAACTGGTCCTTAATAAGATGAATTTGTGTTGATGTGGAGAAAGCCTTCTTACAAGGAGGCTCTGCTATGATGTCTTTGCTTCTGCTTTTTAAAATACCTTTGGTTCTACTTTGCCAGTCATCTTCTTCAGCAACTCATACAAATGGGTCGAGTTACCTTGAGAGTACCAGCCAGGTTTGTCCAGGACTGGGAGAGCTTCTTGTTCCTCGTCATTCTCTGAAGTAATAAAGGAAATTTATCTATTTTAGTGAAAATGCAAGAAATAAAAAAGCATTCCTCTGAAAGACCCATTAAACAAATGTCATTCTTAAGAATATACCAAATGATACCTACAACATTTCCCACAAATTATAGTTCGCTTCACTGTTTCTCATTCTTCTGGTGGAGTCACTAATAACATTTACAACTGCCTTGAGAAAGCTTTAAAGGAAGAGGCTTTAAAACTATGCAAGAAGTTAATTCTGGGGTCCTGGAAATTGAGTATATAAAGAACTTGGGCTGGGATAGTTTAGTAAAAGGATAAAATGGGGATTTACATCTGTATCAGTGTAAATTAAAGCAAACTTAGAAATTAATGTTACGGACCCATTATGTAGAGAAATAAATTAGATATGGGGCAGATACGGGAAAGGTGCAGGCAACTAAGAAGTATAAGAAGACAGATATCTAGTTAAAGAGAAAGATATGGATTTGTAAACAGATCTAGAGGAACTAAATGTTTGACTTTCTATCAGAATAAAGCACTTATTTATCACTGCAATTTTAAAACAGTTCTTGCAGGTCTTGTCCAAAAATAGTTTGAAATGCACGATTCTTTTGATACAAATGCTGCACCCTTACATTAATTATATGAATCTCACATAGCCTGCATGCATCTTACAGGCATGAAATGGACATGCAGTCTGCTAATATGCAGAGTACGTTGGTTGGTTTTACTGGAATAAAACTGATCTCAAATCAAGCAAAACTTTTAAATTTTTATAACATGAAAAAGTGCTTCCACATAAAACAGCTGTTTTTTAGGGGTTTTCAGTAAAATGGTTCAAAGGAAGGGAAAGCCCTAACAATAACAAATCTCAAGTTCTTAATTTAAGCAGAAAACTGCTTTCATTTTTTTCTTTTTTTTTCATAAACAGCTATTGGTGATATAGACAAAGATGTGTTATTCTTATTATTTCCTGATTTATTTCTCTGCTTGATTCAGGAACATCAATCAGATCTTTTTTCTATTAGTATAGTTAATATCATTGTTTTGCAAACAGAGCTACTGTTATGGAAACATTGGAAATATTTAAAGAGAAAAAAAATAACTTGTAGTCCAATGGGAAATCACAAGTACTCCAAGGGACAGAACACAGCTACATGGCACTCCAAGGTTCAAGAGAGAGTATTCACTTTCAGAAAGGAACAACTATTGAAAGTTTCCCAGCAATTACTCTGTGGTTGTTGCTCTGAGGTTGTGAGAGTTGAGAAGATTTGGGAAGACAATATCAGTATATCACGGAAGGATTTGAATCTGTGTGAACCAAAGTTCTTGCAGTACCTCAGTATAAAGAAAATTTAAGAGTCCTGCGCTGAGTCTCATGATCCTGGTTATTGCTGAAGAAAACTGTTGTTTAAAAATGACAGGAAGATATAACTTGTTTATATTTTCTGAACTGCAGCAAGACATAATTATGACCTTGGAGTACGAATGCATTTATGTGTAGGTATTAATATGCAAGGGCAGAGAAATCTGCATGAAAAAGCATATGAGATCTTGTGCAGCCTTTTCTTTAATGAAAACTGATGCACAATTGTTGTTAAGAAGAAGTTAAAAGAAAACTGGAACATTAGGGAGTCAATCCTCAAAAGCATACCCCACTGAGTTCAGTGGCATTCACTAAATCATCTCCAATTATAGGCTGCCTAGGTCCCCTTTAATAACCACTACTGAAGGGAAATCAACCACTCAAGTGGGCATTCTTCCACTGCTTCACAGCTCCTACCACTAGAATATGCCTCCTAATATTCTGCTTCAACCTTTAATATCAACCACTGATCAGTTTCAGCCCTCATTAGTGCATGATAGAACTTTAAATGTTTTAAGACTATTACATGCATTTCCCCCTAGCCTTCTCTTCTGCAGAATAACAGAGTTAAAAGGGACCTTGGAGGTCATCTAGTCCAACCCCCTCCTCAAGGAGGAAACCCTATACCATTTCAGACAAATGGCTGTCCAATCTCTTCTTTAAAACTTCCAGTGTTGGAGCATTCACAGCTTCTGGAGGCAGGTTGTTCCACTGATTAATTGTTCTAATTGTCAGGAAATTTCTCCTTAGTTCTAGGTTGGTTCTCTCCTTGCTTCTTTAACTGTGACTCACAGAGCTTGGACAGACATCCTTATCTTCCTTGTATCTGTCTTCTGAACCCACTTTTGCTCTTCACATCCTTTTTAAAGTGTAGGATCTAGAACTGATGCCCAGACTCCACATGTGGTTTAGTCAGTGCAGAGTTCCATGGAACTGTTACTTCACCTCATCCGAATGCATTGCTTCTGTTAATGCAATACCATTTATTATGTTAGAACAAACTGCAACTTTATTCTCAGGACAAATAATTTTCAGAGGTGGTGGGGCAATCTAATTTTCTCAGGTTGTGAACCAAAACATCAGATATTCTACTCACAATACCATTATGATCCGCGTTCCCATCTTGCCCACAGTTATTTTATCAAGTACGCTAGATAAATTAAATATGATCTTGTAATGTACAAGTTTGAATGTGGGGGACAATGTCAACTTGGCTTTCTAAAATTATACAAAACTATAAAACTATATTTATATATAGTTGAAAAAAAACGTGGCTACTCTAGAAAATGGAAATAAATAGTTGGCTTTTAAATAATGCATGTTTCTCTTCTAAGACACAAAACTAGTGATCAAGATCCTGTAATCCAGGGGTCCACAACCTTGGAACCACGGCCCACTACTGGGCCGTGGCCTATTTGGAATCGGTCTGTGTGAGCAGCAGGACAGTGCACATGTGCGCAGCTCAACTTGTACGAGCCGTGGGCCGGCACACGTGCACAGGTGTGAGTAGCTCAACTTGCGCAAGTCGAGCTGCGTGCGCATGTGTCAACCCGCCGCTCGTGCAAGTTGAGTTGCGCGTGTGTGCATATGTGCACTGACCCACCACTCGCATGGCCTGGTTCCCTTCTCTCCCCCCACCAGGCCGCCAAGCTGAAAAGGTTGGGGACTGCTGCTATAATCTAATAGAAGACAATATATGTGGCTTTGGGTTAAACTAAGTTCTTGGTGCTTTCTGAGATGTTTTATTGCAGATGTTTTATTGTCTGACTAGGTAATATCATCTGTGTTAGTGATGAGGGTCAGGATTTGCTATATACAAACTGTCAATGTTGGGATGTTTGTGTGATTTTGTCTTTGGTAATTTCTGGATTAGTTATTGTTTTCTGCTTGTTTGTCTGGTGTTAATCCCCACGTATCTGGGTGCTAGAGAGGATGTGTTTTTTTTGTTTCCCCCTTAGTATTCTTATTGTCTCTTTTGAATGGTATGTTTATGTCTGTGTGTCTATTGAGGGCTAATTTGTTTGATTGCCAAGCTTCCAGGATTCTCTAGCGATTTTTTGGGATTTAATTTGGTATAGAATGCTCACAGTTTCTGAGCAGAAACTATGGTCAAGTCTGTCTCTGTGTTATGAGATTACGGAATTTTCACTGTCTGCTAATTGGTGATCATCAATACTCTCTGTCAGTCTTCTGCTTGTCTATTGTACATGACTCCTGCTTTTTCTTCTTGAGCTACTGTCCTGTCCCTGGCAGGGTAAGCTACTGTATATAACAGGATACAAACCCTATACTCACTAGCATTGATGATACTATCTAGTTGGATGATGAACCATCTACAAGCAAACAACTAAACTTAGAGAGCACCAAGAACTTCACTAATGTGGATTATAACTTGATTATAAGGAATTTTTGATACTGTAACTTTCTGAAGTGAGGTCCTTTGTGTCCTTAATGGAACATTTATTTTATGAACACTTGGTTGAATAAGCTAGAAATGTACTCAGTACATTTGGAAGAAGTAACAATTTAATGGATTTTGCATAACTTTCTTATTGCTCTAATGCCAAATGTAAGATTTAATATGAAACACAGCTGTTTATATTGTATGTGTGCGTGTGCACTTGCGTGCGTGCGTGGGTGGGTTGGTAATTAGATTTAATGGAGGAATCACTGGCAGAATATGATAGAAAAATGTACAGTATTAAATATGGTATGTTGGAATCTATGGCTCAATTAATAGAATACTGTCCTTGGATGGGCCTGTTAAGAGAGGGAGGAGGTGTTTACTGATTCCTGCCCTTACACTATCTTAGAAACTATTCCAAAACTTAATAAGTCATCTGACAACTGTGTAAACTGCATGCAAAGCTGCAGAGAGAATAACTTCTACTTATTCACCCTTTCTCCAGTGGGAGTCTCTGTTGGATTTCAGTCCTTCTTACAAATAAGAGGAAGCTCTTTTTTTTTTTTTTTTTTGTTATTTATATGGAGCTGTTTTTCCAGGACCCCAAAGCAACTCCTTCCTTCAATTTTTTCTCTCTAACAACAACTGACTGGGTATACCAAGTTGAGATAAAGTGACTAGGCCAAAGTCATCCAGTGAGTTCCCATGGTTGAGGGTGGGACTTGCACCTGAACCTCTCTGGTTCTAGCCCAACACTTTAACCACTATATTACACTGGCTTTTTATGAATAAAAAGAAAAACCATGTATTAATCCTTGTTTACTTGAATTTCAGTTCTAGAAAGATCAGTGATGCAGCTAGAATTACTTCCTTCTATCCTGTTGAGCTTGCCAGTGTAAGTGCATGTATATGAAATACTCTCCTTTATGCTGCGCATAAAGGAGATTTGCTAATATAAATGTAATCATCATCATTTTAGCCATTGTCTATCCACTGCAGGATGAAGACCTCTTCCACATGTTTCCAAACAATATGGCCCTGAGCTTTCTTTTGCCAGTTGGGCCCGCAATACTTGCTGATGTCAATGATCCATCTTGTTTTAGGTCTCTTTCAGGGAATATCAATTGGGATCCATTCTATGACTGCCTTGGTCTACCTGCCATGTTTTTCTTGCTATGTGACCAGCCCATTTCCATTTCAAATCTTTTACTCTCTTGATATAACATATATTTTCTTTTGTTCTCTAATCCATTTCTATATCTATATTTCTGTGTGTATGTGTGTGTGTACATCTATATAAATAAAAATATAAATGTTCGTTTGTTCAAAATCTTAAATCTCCGAAAGTTCTTCACCGATTGCTTTGAAATTTTGACACAACGTTGCATTCGAATATGCACGTGTTTTTATATACCTACTATTATATAGATGTCACACCTGTGACACAAACGTGCGGTTTCTCTTTTCTTTTTTTTCCATTTAACCAGACTGAGCCACAGCAACGCATGGCTGGGTACAGCTAGTATATATATGTTTATATATATTATAATATATATATTATCATATTATAATATGAACAAGTAAACTTGAAAAAAAAGGTAATTTATTTTTGATAATGTTCTAATGTGGTAATCAAGCACGTCCTAGCAAATAGCATTTTCCACCTGACTACCTTAATGTAAAGATCTTAAAATACATTACTCAGACTTAAAAATGTACAATATTGTTCAGTCAACATGTGGCATTCTATTCCTGCATTACATTTGGGACTTCCCAGGTTCCCTTTCTCTGTGGTCAATATAAAACCTGTCCTTCAATTGCTTAGAATTAAAACAAGAGCTTTCAACCTACTATGTTGATATTTAAACTACTGGGCTGTGACCTATTTGCAACCAGGCTGTCTGAGTGGTGGGCTGGCAGGCACACACGCACACAGTTCAACTTGCAAAAGCAGTGGGCTGATGCGCACCTGCATGAGAATGCACCTTGACTTGTGCAAGTGGAGCTGTGTGCATGTATGCACGTGTGCCGGCCCGCTGCTCATGCAAGTTGACCTGTGCGTGCGTGTGGGCCCGCTGCTTGCATGGCCCGTTGCAAATGGGCCACAGCCCACTATCAGACTATGGCCCATGTTCTATGTTATGTTTTATTTGAATTTCCAGTAGGAGAGATTGAAACTCCTATTCAGAACCTATTTTAAGGCAAGTTGGATACAAATAAGAGAAACAAAATTTTAAAGGTATCAAAAAAAAAAAAATCTAATCAGGAGCAACTTCCATGTGCAACTGAAAAGAAAATGAATTGTTGTTCCTGAGGATTTCAAAGTTACCACATGTTCTCAAAGTTAACCTCCAACATATAAACTTGTTAGACTTTCCATACACAAGGAGTCAGATTTAGGTGGGATATTATCCAATTCAATAAAGCATTTAAAACTTGACTAAAATTCCTAGCCGTAATTATCTGATCCAAGGTGAGAACAAAAAGATATTCAAATCATCCATATAATATGGATGGGATTTTTAAACTTCTGTTTATGCCCCCCAAAAATTATATTTATAGAGGCCTAAGTAAGGTTGAAAAACCAATTAAAACTCCAATTATATTGATTTTCAGAGAAATATTAGTTTATCAGAAGCTATGGGACTAACTCTAATTAATAAAATATTGTGATAAATGATCAAACCATTGTACAACATCAATAATTTTTGGCATCAAAGGTACGCTTGATCATGCATGATCTTAGGAAAAGCTATATAATATGTACAACTCATTAATGTATTCTGCTGTTACATTTAACTCAATATTATGCTGCAGTCATTTTTTAAAAAAAATATTTATCGAGTCTGAACCATGTTGACATAATATTACATTGTTTATTAGCCTTTCAGCTGGAAGAACCTAATCTGTAGTGTGTGTAACATTTCTATTACATATAACGAACCAGCATAATCTATCCTGAGATGGGGTATTTTTCATGGTCTTCTTCAGGTAGGGCCAGCACTTGAGCCAGTCACCATGTGTTATAGGCCGACTGCCTGAAACAGAAGTCTACTCATGGAGACCTTTTATGTATCAGAGAATTTTGGAAAATCAGCACTTCTAATCCCCATGAAAATTTTCCAGATAAGACTTTTATTATAGAGCTCTTACATCTGGTGGGCAATGCACAGATAGAACTAGCATACTTGAACCCATTTCCCCTGATAATGGACAGAGCTCTTCACTTCGTTTAATACTTATGAACAGTGCTTTTTTTCTAAAAATAAAGGTGCCGGAACTCACACACGTCATACAACCCGCCTTGCCTACCCTACAAGGTTCCATCCAAAAAAGGGCGTTCTATGAGAAAAAAAGCCCTGCTTATAAAGAGAGATAATTATGGCATTAAAGTATGGAAGAGTCTCCCAATGAAGGATAGGTTAAACTACTTAAATAGCAGTTAATTAGAAAAACAAATCTTATGGCATTTTAAAAATTAACTTCATAGTCTATCATCATGAAAATGTAAGGATTTTTCAAGGATGGTTTCTGCTTCCTTTTTATTTTGCACACCAATTATTCATGCCTTAACATCTTGCTTTTTTATATTTGTTATCTTCACCATTTTTCTCTCTGATTTTTTTTTAATCATGGAGAACCATTTTAAAAAACCCAATAAAGCTATGTTCATGCCTATGGCTATAAACCTGAGCTGCTGACAGCTTAAAATGGCTCATATGTTTAATTCTAGCTTACCCAGAGTCCGGAAAGGTCTTTGATTTGGTGTCTGAGAAAAAAAACCAGGTTTCAGGGCATTTGTGATGATAATGTCAAAAAGGTCTTCAAAATCTTTCCTACAACAACAACAACAACAATAACAAATTAAAGTGATATTTTCATCTGTCTGAAATAACATTTCAATTATTGTTCTCTCTTGGAGAAAACTGTGACAATATAAACAGTATATTCAGCTAGGGACTAGATATATGCAGGTATATCTTATATGGGTTATCTGCATGCAGTTAATAAATAGCCCAGTCTTTTGAAGGATTTTTTTTTTAATTTAGCGTATGGCGTTGTTATTACATTAGCCAGGAGATTACAATGCTAGTGCAGAGTAGTAGTTTGGCTGCTTGATTACCAGTTCTGTTAGGTACATGTTTGTGCACTTCCTATGGTGTGCCACAGAAGGGACGAGCCAGCTTCACCTCAGAAAGAAAGACGAATGGCTTTTCCTGCAGCGTCATTCAAGGCTCTTCTCCCCTCCACTGAAGCCACCTCGCAAATGGGTGTCGCAACCAGGAAGGTTCAGTGCTGGCAAGATTCTAACCGCCACACAAAAGCACCAGCTTGTCTCTCCACCAAAGCGGTACCTATTTATCTACTTGCATAGAACATGCTTCTGACTTGCTAGGTGGGCAGAAGCTGAGGCGAGTGACAGGAGATCACCCTGCCACATGGTACTAGGACTTGAACAGCCGGAGCAGAGATCATCTCGAGCAATATAAAGCCACTGAGCCACTGCACCTCCTTTTTGAAGGAACACCTCAGGGAAGTAGTAAAAATTCAACAAAACATGAAATAAATATCCATTTCTAATGAATTACTGCTGTTAATGACATACTAAGAAATCTAGATTAATTAGCTACTAGCAACCAAATAACAAGGCCACATATCTGTCTGTTATATCTGGAAATGAATGCTGTACAAGACTGTATAAATTATATATGTATTCAACAACTGGACAAACAGCTACTCATCACTAGTGTAATATGCTCTACATGGGGTAGAGCATATTACACAAAACCATTTGGAAGCTTCACCTGGTTCACAATGCAATGATGCAGGCAGTGATGGTTTGCCAACCTCTGCTCCATGAGCTGTACTGGTTACCAGACTGCTTCTGGGTGTGTTTCAAGATGCTGCTTATTACATATAAAGCTTTACAGGGCATATGACCAGACTGAGGGACTACATGCCCATGGTTTCTGTCCAGCGTTTTGTGCTGGCAAAGTTGGCGTTTGAGGTCCCCTTGATTAAATAGTATCATCTAGGACACGGGTCAGCAACCCGTGGCTCCAGAGCCGCATGCCGCTCTTTGAGCCTTCTACTGTGGCTCCCAGTCCTCCTCCGCCATTTGCAGAGACAGAGAGACAAAGACAGAGAGAGGAACTTGCACTTCTCTCTCTCTCTCTGTGTATGTGTATGTGGCCTCATGCTGTTCTCCGACAAGCTGAGAAGTTTATTGGCCGGGGCTCCTGCCTTTGCTGCGTCTCCGCAGGAAGCAGCAGAAAGCAATAGCTCTCTCTCTCCCTCTCCCTCTCTCTCTCACACACACATACTGAGTGGGGGAAGAGGCCTGGCAGACCAAGGACAGGAGAGAGCCAGCCCAATAAGAATGTGTGTCAGCTTGTCGGAGAACAGCATGAAGCCAGCTTGCCAGGTGAGCAGAAGATCGGAGAGAGGAGAGGAGAGGAGAGAGAGAGAACTCATGCACAGCAGCCTCTATTTCTTTTTAATTAAACTCTTCAATCAAGCCCCCCCTCCGGGGCGCATGTGTGCATGAGTTTTGCACCCCCCAGTGTTTTCTTTTCTATGGGAAATGGGTCCAAGTGGCTCTTTGAGTGTTTAAGGTTGCCGACCCCTGATCTAGGAAGTATACTTTTTTGGAATGAGATCCCCTGAAATGAGGCTCCCACCCCTGCCATTTGTTTGTAGAACTGTTTTTTCTCCCAGGGTTAGGGCTAAAATGGATCCTTGTTGGGTATATTCATTATTTCCATTTTGTCTTTATGTTGGCCTTCTTTTTGCTTTGTATTGGTTTTTTATGGTATTATGTTTTGAACAGCCCACAGTCCATTGGAGATGAGCAGTGCCCAAGTTAAAACAAACGTCGTAGTAGTTATTATCGATGTGTTGGTATGTGTGAAAAAAGATTTGCCAAAGGTGGAGATATTTTCTTACTTTGATGTAATTCATAATGTGACCTTATACATTTTATTTATTTGTTTAGAAATTGTACATGGTTGCCCATCTTAAAATACATAACCCTGGGAGGCTAATGACAAGCCACAAAAAATACATTATAAAGAATCTTAAAAGAGTGGCTTAGGTGAGATGGCCAGCCATACAAACTGAATGAATGAATGAATAATTTAATAAATAAAACATAAATGCAAAAACAAAAGTACAATTAAGAACAACTTTAATGCAACGGTCCCCAAGCTTTTTGGCAGCAGGGACTGGTTTCATGAAAGACAATTTTTCCACAGATTGGGGGGGGGGGGGAATGGTTTTGATTTTGTTCACTCGCCTGCTGCTCAATTTCAGCTCTGTGGTCTGGTTCCTAATAGGACAGGGACTGATATGGCCCAGGGGTTGCAGACCCCTGCCTTAATGCATCCATCAAGGTGCCACAGCAGACTGCCGAAACAGATATAAAGTAAGCCAATAGGTATTCCAGCCAAATAATTGCACACAGGATCTGAGCCCCTATGTTATTCATACTTTCTAGATTGGTCCTGAGTATGGCTGACAATGTTGTATAATATGCAGAATATGGTGTTTGCAGAATCATTGGGGGGGGGGGGAGGAAACATCTGGAAGAGATTTTGGGGATTTCCAGAATTCTTTGTACAGAAATTCGGAAGTACGGAAAAAGGAAGCAAAATGAGTTCTATGAGGCCTTTCTATTCTGATATATTTCTGCTGAATCTGCTCATGAATTTCAATGAAAGCAACCAAACTAGGCCCTAGTATTGAATATTACTTAGATTACTAATATGACAGGAGTCAAACTAGTGACCTGTGCAGCCTTCTGAGGAGTTTGTTCTACTTACACAGAAAGAAACAAAACAGTTTGATTTCAAACTTCATATTTAGTATTCAGCTATAATAGAACTTGATGCCTACTTATAATAATAATCTCATTCTAAAACTCTTTCATACATGTAGAATAAAAGGACTTATTGGATAGGTTTCTAACCCTCTCCCTCAAGAAGGAGAAAAGTAGCAACCTCAAGCAGTAATATTGTTTGTGGCTTCCAGCCATCCTTACCCGGGTTGAGAGATTTGGAGGAATGCTCCAAATAGCTAACAGATCATGCAGGAAGAAAGATTTCACTATCATGAACTGTTTTTAATTGCTATACTACTAGCAGGCAAAAGAAGTCTGAAGTAACGCAGCATTCACTTACCCCAAAATGTACTCGCATAAGAGTCTGCAATAGTCAGAATGAGAGCTGGTAATTAATAGCAGAATCTTTCCACTCTCCTTCAATTTTCTTAACCATTTTTTGACAGAATCAGGACAAGGCTGTATATATTTTCCTGGGTTGCTTTTCACTTCAGGAAAGTACATTCCACAGTTTTCTGAAAGGTAGAAAAATAAGGTTATGATTGAATATGCCACATGTATGACCTATCAATGTCCAAGAATCTGTTTTTAGCATTTGTTTCAGCATTCATTGCATTCAAACATCAGTCAATTTAAAAAAAAATGTTTTAAGTTTTTAAAAAGCAGCTGAGAGAATTCCTTTGGGAAAGGTATTGAAAGGGAGCTGCCATAAATATTCTGGTGGGCAGATGGAATTTGCATAACTGAGCATTCCTGGTTTGTGACCTATTAAAGAATTCTAAAAAAAAAAAAAAAAAGCAAGGGAATGGAATTTCAATCCACAGTTTATACTAGGAAAAATACACTGCTGGTCACAAGTATAAAATTATTAATATATTTTCTTTAACCAACTGAATTTAATAAGACACAGCCTCAACATTACCTGGATATTGTTCTGTTCCTCCAGAAACCTTCTAATTAGAACAAGAACTGGCATTTCCTTAGCTATTTCTTAACTAAGAGAAACCAGCTACTGTACTTCTGGAAGCCCTGCGGTGAGCAGGGGACATCTAATCTGTCAGAAGTGTGTTCTTGTGGCCTGCAGATTCTCAATTTTTAATTCTAAAAGAAATGTGCACCTCAGAGGAGTATAAACAGTAGGTTCTACCAGTTCCATTGCTGGCTAGGTAATGGAATATTTATATGTCTTATAACTGGAAGTCAACAGATCATTAGCAGAATTTTACATGCTTTAGGAGGGACACAGGAGATTGAGACATAAACCCCTACATTTCAGAAAATTAATTGCTAGAACAATGTCTATTCACTGGCCTCTTGCCTGTCTCCTAGGATATATTGCTTCCTGTTTCTGTGTGGAAATCCATGTGAGTTGACCTTTGAATTTGGGTTCTAGGAATCTCTTAATTGAAATGGAGGTGTTACTTCCATCTTTCCAAGTTCTTTTACTCTGACTCTCGCAGGGTTATTCACATCCATCATCATATCTAAGTACTCCATAAGGCAGACTCTGCCCAGTACAGAACAGAAAGTATGAACATGAGATAATTTTACAACTCTTCCTCACAACTGAGTACTAAAAATGAATGTATCGACTGGAATTTAATAAACAAACTTATTAAACAACATCATAAAAGAAGGCAACATTTCATGCAACGTTTCAGTATCCAGCAAGTAAAAGTTCTCATGAAATGGAATGATAAATACAGCAATTCCTACTGACTGATAGGTACTTGAATTAAACTTGGGCAGAATTTCCAACGGCTACACTTTTGACTGCAACTTGCAAACCAAATCAGTTAATATTTCTACACATATTCATCTTTCCCACTAAATATCTGTGGTCAGCTTCCCTGAACCAATTAAGAAACCTTAGACATTACTTTTCCATGTGGAATGTGCCCAATTCTTTTCTGATCAAAAGCAAAATAAAGATTTAAGCTTTGTAATCTTCAATTATTATGTAAAAAGGATCAAAGGATACTTGAAACTGTAATATTTTTCAGGAACAATATGGAAGATGTTTCAAAACAGCACCTGGATTTAAACCACTAACTTCAACAGGACAAAACTGCTTGCATCGAAAAGTATTGATAAATTGTGAACTTTAATAGATCCAGAATTTCCTTGACTAGTCCCTTCCCTTGGATTTGGATTTCATTAAGAACTTACTTAATTTTGGTAAGGAACTCATAATAAAACCCAGTCTGTTAAATTTAATCTGGCAAAGAAGGTATCACTGATTCTTGGGAATACCACTGAAGTATTAACTCCCTCTTTGCTGAGGCAGATCAAAAGGATATTCTGTAAGCAGAACAGAGGTGAGGAGAATTAAGTTTGATTCTCCAGATGTAAAGAAGTTTAGTTCCTAAAATGAACTAAACTATCAGCCATATCAGCTGTAGAAAAGGAGCATAATCTAACACAGTAGGTTGCATTTTGTCCTTAAGCCCTTGGCTCCTTTACCCAAATTGTGGAGAAACTGATTTTTTTTCCAAGTGATAAAAGAGGAAAATTCAAGAGTTTTCATATTAATTATACTTGATTTTGTTTACACTAAGTTACATTTAAATGAAATGTTGAAATGCTTGTATTAGCCCCAGCTATTAGTTGGGGAATAGAATTTGCAACACTACTCAAACTCTAAATCCAGTCCTCTCCCTAGTAAAAGTTCAGCATTCCTACATATAAAGAATTGGTCACCATGGGAAAATCCTCAGTCAAAAAATCCAGAAAGGAGTCATTACTTCACAAGTGGGAAAGATTTGGCAGAAGTGGCAAATTAGGCCGGTTGTTTTACTTTATGAAACTTAAGATTGTTCTGTCTTGTTCATAACTCATAGATGAAATGATAGATTGGTGGTAGGCTGGCAATCTTAAAATTGCAAGCTAGGCTTCACAATGAAATGTTTACGACTATGCACTCCCCTCCCCTCCCTCTTCTCGTCTATCTTTCTTGTTAATCTGCCAGTTTCCTTTATGATGAAATCTTTTTAACCTAGTAAATTCTAATCCAAATACAGTGCAAAATGGTAGAATCCAAATACAGTCCTATGAGTTCTAATAGCAATGAAACCCCACCGTTTCTCCACCAGAAAGGATGTTATAGTTTTATCTGGAAATGAAATTACTGTCCAGTATAATCTGCCTACTATTTATTTTGGAAACCTATAACTTGATAAAAATAATCAAAGGTATAGATTGAAGCCTAAGATAAGAGGCATAATACTATTAAGAACTACTTCGAAAACCTGGTTAGCCTGGCCCAGAAAAATGCTTGAATGAATTAAATATTGGGAGGCCTATTAGAAGTTCTTTACATTGTAGAAAAAGACGGATATAAAACGTGACATTTAATGAAAAGCTAAACATTGCTATAAACAAACAAATAAGAGACATGCCAACTTCTGGTTTAGTTTATCATCATATATTCTACATAGGTGTTTTTTTTTAGCAATTGCAACTAGCCCAAATTATGCTAATATTTTGACTAACTCTGAAAGAAAATAGAGCATATGACACTGTTCTTGCATCAGTTGTTAGTCAGTTTGCTTTTGGGTGGAAATCACAGCACTGGTTAGCCTTTACATTCCTAAGAACTTGGAATCACTTTATTCCACATAAATCTGTCTGAGTCATAAAACTGGGAAGTTCTTCCCCTGAACTACAACTGTCCATATGACCTTCTTTTTTAAAATAAATAAATAAAACTATCTGAACTGTGAACAGCATTATTCCCGGATTAACTGTCTCAATCTTCGACTACTCTCTGCATTTTTCTAACATTTTTTTTGTCAGATTGATCCATTAGCCCAATGTTTTTCAAACTTGATAAGCCAGTTTGGTCTAATGGTTAAGGCACCAGACTACAAATTGGGAGACTGTAAGTTCTAGTCCTGACTTAGGTACAAAGCCAGCTGGGTGACCTACAGTATTACAGTATTTGAAGGGCTGCCACAAAGAAGAGGGGGTCAAAGCACCAGAAGGCAAGACAAGAAACAATGTATGGAAACTAATCAAGGTGAGAAGCAACCTGGAATTAAGAAGAAATTTTCTAACAGCAAGAACAATTAACCAGATGAATAGCTTGCCTTCAAAAGTTGTGGGTACTTCATCACTGGAGGCTTTTAAGAAGAGACTGGACAGCCACTTGTCTGAAATGGTATGAGGCCTCCTGCTTGAGTAGGCAGTTGGACTAGAAGACCTCCAAGGTCCCTGCCAGCTCTATTCTATTTGAAAACCTTGGGCTAGTCATTCTCTCTTAGCCCTAAGAAGAAAGCAATGGCAAACAACTCCTGAAATCTTGATAAGAAAAGTGTAGGGACTTTATCTAGACCAATGTTTCTCAACCTTGACAATTTTAAGGCATGTGGACTTCAACTCCCAGAATTCCACAGCCAGCAATGCTGGCTGTGGAATTCTGGGAGTTGAAGTCCACATGCCTTAAAATTGTCAAGGTTGAGAAACACTGATCTAGACAGTTGCCAGGAGCCAAAAAACAAACTCAAAGGCAATAGTTATTTATTTATTCTCAAACTTGGCAACTTTAAGATGTGTGGACTTAAGTCCTAGAATCCCTCAGCCATCTTGCACATGAATTTTGATAGAAAAAAATTATTTTGTGTAGAAAAGATTTGTGTGCAAAGGAATGTACACATCACATTCTGTTTAGAGAAAGCTATCTATTTATAAAATAGTTTAAGTGCCTTGGAAAGAAACGTTATAAATCTGATTCCAATGAAGCCCACAGATGATTCCTATTTACCATTCAGCACGACTTTTCCATATCATTCAGTTCCCTCTGGAAAAAGTTACCTCATGTCTGAAGGCACCAGCCAGGCCAAGAGCCTGACTGTCACAACAGGAGGAAGAAGAAGCGCAAATGCAAAAGGCAAAGCCAGAGTTCTCAGCAGCGCTGGCTGCAAGAGCCATGGCAGCTGCCAATAGCTCTGCCATAGGAAATAGGGACCATCTGGCAGAAGCTTCAAATTGGGCACTCACACAATAATGAGTAAGCACTAAAGGCTGACCGCCTCCGAGATGTTGCAAACTTTCCTCTGCTCAGATATTTGTCTAGTGGGTGGACGTTTATACCATTTTCATTCTAGGCCTGCAGACCAAAGGCCAATGAATGCATCCCTCTACTTCACTTTTTCATTCTATCTCTACTATTTATAACTTCTAGGAGACGCAACAAAACAAGGAGCAGCAACAAAAAGTTGGTATTTATATAAAAGGGAACATTCCACAAAGCAGGGGCTACAGCAGAGAAGACCCATCTTCCAATTTTGTCAGTCGATATCTTTCCCTGATGGGATCTGCAACATGCCCAATCTTAACAGTATATGGCTGCCTATCTCATATAATGAGCCTAGGCAGCTCACAATTGATAAAACATAAGAACTACACCACCAAAGATGCCCGACTAAACACTCCCAGTTCAGCCCCCATCCTAGACAATGCATGGGGTAAGAGCCAGATCTTTGTGGACTTCAGGAAGAAGAAAAGAATAGGGATC